ATGATCCAGAGACCAAAGCCCGGTCAATGCAGTGGAAGCACTTGGACTCACCATCTCCAAAGAAGACAAGGTCATTCTCACAGTTTTCTGGGACCAGGACGGAGTAGTGATGACAGATTTCCTGGCAAAGGGTACCACAATTACAGAAGCCTATTACGCTTCACTTTTGATGAAATTAAGAGAAGCTATCAAAATCAAGAGGTGGAGCAAGATCAGCAAAGGTATCCTCCTCCAGGACAACGCTCGGGTCCAGAACTCGCATGTCGCCAGATCAGAAGCACGGGCGTGTGGCTATGAAATCCTCCCCCATTCCCTTTACTCTCCTGACCTTGCACCCTCTGACTTCCATCTCTTCCCAGCCATGAAGTTGCTTTTGAAAGGAAAGCGTTTCCTAGATGATGAACCTTTGATTTCTGAAGTTACGACGTGGCTGGAGGACCAACCTGGGGTGTTCTACAAAAACGGTGTCCAGAGCTGCATCAAACGATGGGAGAAATGCATAACTCTGGGTGTTTCCCATGTGAAAAAAACTATAACTGTGCCAAGTTTCATTAATCTCCTGCTATGGAAAATGGTCAATGGCATTACTTATTGAACGCCCTTCGAACTAACAGAGTGTAATATAGTTAAAACAAATGGCAAAACTGGTTTGACGGGCATCAGTAAACACAAATGCGATATAATAGGTTATCCACATACATTACAACTGGAATAAAAGATGATGGCTTTCTTGAAAAACATTGAATGTGGTTATTTCAACATTCATGTGTAATTGCTAATTGCCATGATTCCAATGTAGCGATTAAAACATTTATCTGGCATTTCTGCCATAGAACAACAATTGCCAAGGAAATATTTGATTACGTTTGTCATATAATTCGCTAAATGCGAAATGGTGTCAACAAATTACATGACCATCAAAGTTCTTTTCATCCAGCATATAGCAGAGAATGGGAAGTGCATGAGGTCGATATGCGTGTGTTTCCGCTTACATTTGTATGAGGAAACTCCCATACCATTGTAAATGTACTGATCATGTGCTTACTGTCGGAATGTTTGTTTTACCTTTGTACAAGAGTAGGCTGGAAGGACACAGAGGTTGATTAAACGACCATATTTATTAACACAGTACAGAGGAATAAGAATATTGCAAATATGATTTATGAAATACTGTTTATAATATGCTCGAATATGTATAATATGTGTGATTTGATCCTTGCAATGTGTATTATATACAGCAGAAGTAGCCAAGCTACTATTATGAAGTGTTTACTTTGGTGTGATAATGTTTGAAGCTGTAGTGAAGCAGTTAAGTGCTACGAAAATCAGAGGTCACTTCATCAACACAGAATGAACATTGCATGTTTTCAGGGAACAGATAGTTCCGTTACAGGCTGCTACACAGAGTTAGTTACCTTGTTAGGAAGAGTGAGCACGTGCCAAGAACAAACAATGAGAATTCAAGTAATTGTCATAAAGTGTAGAAAATGAACATATTGTCCTCGAACCAATGTACTGGCTTGTACTGTAATCATGCTCAATGGTAAGATGCAGAATGAATGAAAAAAAAACAATCCCATAGTGTGCAGTATTGTTTGGGTGGTGCATGTAATTACAGAGTTACAAATCAGGCGAGTGTGCTGTGAATAACAACGGGGAGCCTCAATAATGACTTAGCTATGTAAAAAATAAGCAAAATGTTTGCATGTGGCAGTGATTTTTATGCACTCACAGCCGCAAGGAATATGCAATAAATTGATAAATAGATTATGATATAGCAAATGCCATATATATAAAAAAGTGATGTGTTTATGCTTTTCAGGTATATATCACATTCAAACTGTACACATGCATCATGGCCCACATATTTTATGATCAAAACAATGGTCTTAATGGGTGAGTTTTAGCACAAAATGAATACAATTCTTTTCCGTGTGTATTTTTGGAAAATTAAATGAAGTTAATAAACTCCGAAGGAAATTTTATTTCATGTTGAAAGTACAACAATTAAACAACAATGACCATAACAATTGAATATGCTTTTAATTCCAGCCATATGTTACATAGTATTCCTAAAAATAACATGTACTGACATGATTTAATAGACCATTTTGATAAGACATTACAAATGTAAGGCGAAGCTAAACATGTACTTTAGATAAAATACAGTACCTTAATTTAAGCAATCAGTGCGAGTACTCACCATTGTTGTGAAATGCACAACTATTTGATGAGCGGATAATTGATTTGCCGAATAACTGATTCACAATATAACAAAGCCAAGCGAATATTAAATGGTTTCTAATTTCTTTCTAATTTAGGAAATTTGAATATATAATTGTCAAATTTGCTAGCGATTTTGAATGTGTACATAATACTTGTACGCTGTATTTCCAAGCGTAATGCATTATTCGTGAACTAAACTTCCATAACTCCACGTCAGGGCAAAACCATGATTGTACGCCATGGTATCATAGTACAGTTGATTGTACACCCAGGATAACAATTGTACGATCTATATATATATAGGAACGTTGCTCACATAATACGAGTACAATGTAGAATGGCGTTTTCAAAATGGCATCGGCGACGTAATGGGAAAGATTAATGATCTGAATGAGTGTCACGTATTTTCTTAGAGTAATTTAAAAGTTTTGACAAATCGTGCTATGTGTATATTATCAGCAGAGAACTTCAATGGTAATTTACAGTAAAGTAATCAGGTGTCAAAAAGTATAATATTTTAATCGCCTTATTCTTATATTGTGACTTGATTTATTGTGAGTTTGCATGTACACGTATTCCAATTACTGGACCAGTTTTCTGTAAATTCATATATCACTGCGATTTGTGTTACATTAAACACAACCTGACTTTTACAAAAATGCTTGGATATTAGATGTTACCACACAAAAAAAACAAAGTGATAACGAGTATCTACGAAGCGACATCACGGGTGTGTTTATGCAAGGAATATCTATCTCGAAGAACCGAATATTACAACCGAAGTTTTCGCAACACGTATCATGTTTTTTTTTTATAATAGGTGCGTGCGCTGATGACGTGTCCGCTGATCTGAATTAGATAATAAGTGGCGATATTAAATATTTATATATCAAATAATTAATGTAATTATGTTCTTCTAATTCCATAATCCAACTACGAAATTGGAAAAAGTGTTTACCTGTACGGTCAATGTAATGTATGCCTAATTATGAAAACAACTTCTCCAACAAAACAAATGTTATTATGTTGTTCGTTTTAACCCAGATGCGAAATTGAAAATTTGTATATTCCTGGACGGGTATGTTTGATTGGGATGTGTGTGCTGTAACAATCGATCACCGAACACAGGGCAGAAAATGACTAACGCAAAATGTAATTTACAGTGTTAACAAATAGTTGATGTCACACACGAACATATGAATACTACCATACATTATATACAATGTCATTTCCAGTTCGATTAACATTGGAAACATACATTTCTAATATGATTCCCATACTATTAAAACTTCCAGTGATTATTTGCTAATACTAGCTGTAAATGTGAATTGTCGTAGAGTTTGTAAACAAGCCTTCAATATTAAAAACTGTAATTAATAACCTTTTTATTGATAAAATAAAATTTCATTGCCCAACATGCGATTGTTAAAATCATATATTTTAAACCATATATCATTTCACAGTGATATGATAAAACACCACGCGTACTTTTGTTTACTTCATCAATGATACTTCATGCATTAAATAAATAAAATGAATGTACATTCATTCCATCACAAGGTGTTTAAATGTATATTTATGCAGTAAATAAATGTAAAAATATTTACTTTCATAATTTTAAACCGTTTTAAACTTATATATTTACCGGTGTTTGCGGGGAACATTTGTAAATTCAAATGCCTTAAATTTGCATATCAGCATGATTATTACATTTATTACATATTTATTACATAAACATATATCCTGAGATCCGTTAGTTCAACGACAAATGCTATAAATATTAAGGCTACACTAGTTGACAAAGTTCATTTATATATAGTTTTCATTACTCCAATAATCCAATCAGAAATTTGCAAGTACCACGAATGTCAATTTAGCACATAGTTTAACAGACATAGAAAAGTTCACGATGTCCATATG